CAGTGGCTTTTTTGTCATCTTTGCTGTTTTCTACATGACCCTGTTCAGAAGCCCCACTGTGGTGGCCTTCAGACCACAGCACTGATTGCCCCAGGCAAAGAGCACRTGGGTGAATTAATAATGCGTGTTTGCAAAGTGTGTGTGTGAGCACTGGAGAAAATGCAGTTGCACGGGTGTGARGTGTCTGGAGAGGGTGATTATTCACAGCACCTGCTTTTCTGTCAGAMACCCATATTTACTGGGCAGTGAACCAGTCCCTGCCCTCCTTCCTTGGGATGTTCTCAGCATGTGTTGATGCTGTTCACAGAAATGTGAAAGGCTGATTTTTGCACGTTATCTGCATTACAGTAAGTAGGAGTATGAATGAGGCATCCAGGTTCCCAGGATAACACTGAGAACATTGGAAAGGGCTGAAAGGTGACACTTAAACCTTTTCTCTGAACACCTGAGCAGTGTTTATTYTCCTACAATGTGGTGGTGCTACTCACCCTCCTTATACTCCAGGTCATCGGTGTCTGGGCCCTCTCCCCTGGGATGGGAGGACTGCTTGTAACCCTCCCTCACTCTGAGGTGTTTGTCTGGAGAAATTCACCRTTTTTAAGTCAGAATTTTAATGGCAAAGCAGTTGGCTGCTAAGGGCAGCAGCCACCTTCGCTCTCCCTGCTGAAGCTGTGCCAATGTGCTTAGGGAAGCAGGGCTTGAGGGACRGTGGTGTCACCAGTGCCTGCACCCCACGGCACCGTGAGCTCAGCCAGCAGAGGTGCAGTGTGGGCTGCTGCCTCTCTTTCCACTATTTTCACCATTGCTGATCTAAAGACTTCACTGGTTCAAAMACAAAGGTCCCTCAAGCATGGGGAGCAATAGCAAATCCCTTTCTCCTGGGTGGGTGCCTCACTTTTGCAGCTGCAGACTCAGAGATGTGATTGTGTAGTCTTTGCCTCTTGGAGATTTTTAACTCTGGGACCTAGCCTTCATCTTTCCCCTGAATTTTCTAKCAAGCCACCAAGGAATAACAATGGTAGGGAGCCTTTACACCCTCATGTGAGCAGGCATCCATTTCTCTCTCCATGGGCAGCATTATCTCCAGCGCAGCAGGAGAAGCCCATAGGGGTATAGCTCTTTCCTGACTAAAGTAGGGTTGTCCTTCTGTTTCTTTCTGTTCAGAAACCAGTAAAACCTCTGTGGGTCTGTGCTGAGGATGGGTTTGGTCCTGGCTCCATGTAGAGAGATTGTCCAGGGTGATGTTCCTTCAGCACTTCTTGGAATCAAGTGAATTGCACTCCAGGGCTCTGCATGGGCTGTAAAAGGAGCTGACAGTCTTCAGAGTCAAGCATCTGCTCCTCAGACATCAAAAGCAGAACAAATGTGATACATCTGAAGCAGTTCACTGCATTTTTATCAGAAAACCCGTGCCCAGGTCCAAATCTAATAATGGTTTGGTTGGGGTTTCTTTCCATAAGAAAAGCACAGTGTGTTTATAAATTGCTCTTTCCCAGATTACTTGCTCTTAAAAAGAACCGCTCTGTAATAAGCTACATCATTAAAAAGATTTTTTTYTGTGAGAAGCAGAGCCTGGTTTCCTGGGGTTTGGTACTTCATGGTGGGATTATGTTGTGTCTAATGAGGAGCACTCTGGCTGAAGCCTTTTCTCCTGCTCATAAAGACACTGTCTCCTGTGGGTTCTCTGGTGTCTGTGATACATTTGGGATCAAACTGCCATTGTTTAGGTTCTCTCCTATCTGTCAGTGTCATATGGCCATGTGGCAAGCTGTTCCTCCCAGGAGACWTGAAAGGGTCATACTTCTCCAGCCTGATGCCTCTTCTCTCAGAAATGGATGAAAATGAAAGCATTTGAGACTTCCATCCTACAGTTCACTTTGACTGAAATTGGCCAAAGGGCTAAAAGATAATTGAGAATAATACTGGACTGACACGACAATATAATAAACCTAATTTTATTAGGTAATCGGGCAATAAATGGTAGAAAGTAAATACTGGAGCAGATTAAACATGGAAAAAAATGTTGATAAATATTTATTCAAGCATTTAAATACACTCAAGGTGACAATTTTTGCCTGTTTTGCATTTCAATTTTAGCATTTCAATTCGAAGCCATATGAGTGACCAAGAAGAGCACAAACACTCCAATAGTTGCTCTCATACCTCAATTGTAAATGTAAAATAATGTTTTTCTCTGTGATCTTTTTTTTTTTTCACTAATTAAGGAATTATTAAACGTGTCTGTCAAAATACTGCAAGTCTGGAATTTTGAAACAGGAATGCTGAACAATTCAGAAGCCAGATTTTGAAGATCTTTCATACCAAGTCAGAGAATAAAAATAGATGAAGTGGTTTGTACTAGATGTACAGAATTTTAAACAATCCTGAAATGAACGAAGTTAGACCAGGAATCCTTTGTTGAAGTGATTCATGGAAATATTTCAGAAATGTGAATTGTGAAAGGGAATTCACGATTATTTGCGTACACACACACACACACACACACACATACACACACACACACAAAATCACAAATTCTGGAAAGAAGTAAGAAATGTATAAGCTGCTCATTGTAATTTATTTTTTCCAGTTCCTGAGCCACAGAAACATGTTTGTCATAAAGAGATTTTGAAGATACTTGTATTTTCTTACCTTGAATGTGGTTTAGATGGATGAGCTACCATTGCTTTCCATGCTTCTCAAATTAGGAGAATGATTTTCTAAATTCAATTACATCCTCAGTGAAAATGGTTTCTCTGACTCTGGTAATCTTTGGAGAAGAATTATACACAGTCTATAAAGCTTCACATTTCAAAACCTAATTTTGAATGTTATTCAAGAGGTTAATTTAAGATTCATCTTCCAAAAGGGGAGTTAAATAAAACTGAAAGAAGGCTGGAACTTGTCGAGTGGTTGAGAGGTTTATCAGCATGTGAGTACGAGTTCATTAGTTTTAATTAGTATAATCACTAATGTTGCATTAACAGTTTGGTGAGAGAAAGTAATTGCTCACACCCACTGTATTAGATTGGGAGATTAAATTCATTTTATGAGGCAATTAGCATTTCAGGGAATTTTTTTTAAAGGCTTTTATGATCTGCCATTGCAGTACCCTCCTTCACCAAAAAGAGTTTAAATTAACCATAACTTTCATCCTAATAGGATGCAAAAATTAATGCAGAATTAAGTGTGAACCAGTAATCCCACTGCAATAAGCAGGCAGTGAAAGGCACAAACCTTGATTAGTTTATAATGACCTGTTTTATTTCCCAGACAATGATCGTCATTTATCTGTCCTCAATTCATTATCTTCTTGGAAAGTTTATATTCTTGAATTTTATACAGCAAAACAAAAAAAATATGATGAAGAGGAAACTAGAACTGCATTATTGAAGTAATAATTGTCAAAAGAAAAAKATGCCAGTTCTAATAGTAAGGCTTAACTAGTCGATTATTCTTCATATCAAATGCCAGAGGAAGAAGAAACAGCTGCCTTTGATATCCAGTGCCTTGGTAAGAACCATGAATGTCACAGCAATCACAGTCCTGCTCTATCCATCACATCCTTTGGCAGCTACTGACAATGAGAATGGATGGAATTGTCATCCTGGTTGGCAAGGGAGCCCTGGTCATCTGACAGTAGGAGAGTTCACCCAAGAGATTTCCTTCCCAAACATCCTGTAAAGTCACAGACAAGTTCTGGTGGGAAAAGCTGCTTCCAGCAAGGCTGTAATGAAAGGCTTCATGGCACCCATAACGAGACGAGACCGTGCACCCTTTGCAACACATCTAGCACCCTGTTGTATGGGACTGTGCTTGTCCCTGGATAGAACAAATCTCTGCTCAAAAAATACCAGAAAATAAAATCCCAAATCTACTATGACTTGGATATGGCATGGTGGAAAGCAACTGTTAAATGTTAGAACTTATGCAGATTGTGTCATTTTGAGTACATATACTAAAATGAGGGTGCAGTATTTAGGGAGTTATATTTATCTTCCTGGGGCATATGTTAAAGCAAAATGTACATATATGTATGTACGTACTCCTATCAGGGACATTAATAGATATAAGGGATGTGCTTTTGTAAGAGGAGTTCAGAGAGAAAAAGTGTTTAAAGAGCTTAAACTTAGGCACAGCTAGGCAGGCTGGATCTCAGTCTCTCTGCCATCCACTGATGTCACCTTTAGAAGCTGAACTACTCCAGCTAAGACCTGAATCTTGCCTAAGGGCTGCCTCACTCAACAAACTGCTGAGGCAGTCCCAGGTAACCACATTTCCATCTTGGGTGGCTGGAGCAAATGCTTAAAATTGGGTTGGATGAATCATGACCAGCATGCCTGTGCCTTAGGGTTTGTCTCTGCACTGAGTTATTGTGGAGAAGACATTACTCTTCCTGAATAATGTTCCACGTGAATACACTTTTGGCTGAGTAAGACTACTTCTTCAACAACATCCACTTGAGAGAGGCAGAGCAGTATGCTTTTTAGTCCTCACGTGGAATTCTTCTGCAGGAGCTGCTGCCTTTTTAGTGAGCTGCCCTGCCTTAATTCAAATTTACTTTTGTATAAAAATGCCCTAAATATGCCATCCAATCACCTTTGAGAGCAATTTGAGATTTATGGTGGTAAGGGCATCAATTAGGTGCAAATACTTTGACCAAAAAAAAAATAGTAAAGGTATTGTAAACAATAAAACTGACATTTATTTCACAAATTATTGRTGTAATAAAGCCTATTGTTTCAGGAAAAATGCCTGCATTTGCCCGTATGTTTCATTAAAGAATAATAATGCCATACATATTTCATCCCCTTGTTCTGAGCAGCAAGTCTTAACTCTATAAAATGGCCCATGCTGTCCTTGCTTTGTTGGATTGTTTACCTCCTTTAAATCAGATTTTCCCCCCTGAACTAATGAAATCGCTCTTTAAACTCATACATCATTTTCATCTGAAGTGCCTTATCACGGCTCAAACAGTTGGTGTCTTCCCCTGGAGAACAATGCAGCTGCCACCACCTTTTGCTGTGCAGATCCAGATCAGGACTGCCTCTGATCCCCAGAGTGCTCAGTTCCCTGCTTTAGGTGCGCTGTGGGTGACTGATGCCTGTGGGGTCTGYGTTTGCATATCTGCCCTGGTTTCCGGTCCGCTTGCTCTCACGTGTGATTTCTCTCTTCCCGCAGTATGCACCGACACGCTGTGCAGCTGTGCAGGCGTCCACAGAGCAAAGCATCCTTCCTCCCTGCCATCACCACGAAGYGGTGCACGACTCCCAGCTGCTTCCCTGCACGTGCCCGCTCTTCTCCTGCCCATGGGAAGGGCACCTGGAAGTGGTGGTGTCCCACCTGAGGCAGACCCACCGCATCAACATCCTTCAGGGCGCAGAGATTGTCTTCCTGGCCACGGACATGCACCTGCCYGCGCCCACGGACTGGATCATCATGCACTCTTGCCTCGGCCACCAGTTTTTGCTGGTCCTCAGGAAGCAGGAGAAATACGAGGGCCACCCGCAGTTCTTTGCCACGATGATGCTGATCGGCACGCCCACCCAAGCCGACAACTTCACCTACCGGCTGGAGCTCAACAGGAACCAGAGGCGCCTCAAGTGGGAGGCGACCCCCAGGTCGATCCTGGAGTGCRTTGACTCTGTCATTTCGGACGGGGATTGCCTTGTGCTGAACACTTCCCTGGCTCAACTGTTTTCCGACAACGGGAGCCTAGCRATAGGCATTGCAATAACCACCAGCAAAGTTCACAGCTCCGAAGCTGAAATGTGAGGAGGAGGAGGAAGAGRAGGAGAAACAACAGCAACAACAATGGTGCTCTAACTGCCTTGTGAGAACCAGAACTCACRGACTTTTTGGGGGGGTCTCAGGTCTTTTATGGTATTTAGTAYTCGTCCACAGTGGGCATTATGTAAACATGCCGTGATTACGGTCCCTGTGTCATGTATTTACCCTTTTGCTAATACAATTTTATGAGAAATTTTAAAGAGGCTGATCAATTTATTGTTGCCCCCCAGCAGCACTGTAAACAATGCTTGTTAATGAAAAGTGCACYCAGGGTGACTCCCAGAAACATTTGGTCTGACTGTACCATGTAAACGTGTTTCCTTCATTGCCTGCCTAATTGATCAGAGGCCCCTGTGCCTGATGAAAGGCCAAGTGTTCCACAAGAGCACCCAGGTTTCCGTGTTAGTGATAGGCATTTCACTCTTATCCTGTGGTCACAGCCCAGCCTTCGGGAGCTGGCAGTTTCAGAGCTCCCTTCACCTTCTGAGGAAACAACTTCACCACCCAAGCAGTAAAAGCTTAGAAGAAAAAGTCACCCCCTCTGCTGAGCAGGAGGCTGGGAAGCCTCATCCTGCCATGCAGGAATAACAGCATGGTTAAATCTTGCTCTTGTACCATAAACGGCAGGGAGAGGTTGTGATATGGTCTGGCCATAAGATGGATTTAACCATAGCCAGCCATTGGGGCATTTGTCTTTATAGTTTCTATTTCCTTAARCATTCAAATAGAGATTTTCAGAAAATAAAGTATAAGAAGGGTCCTAAGCTGGGTACCGATCTTGCTGTTGAGTTCTGTGCCAGTTAGACCCTCAGTTTCAGCTGCTAAATACTGATTTAAAGCAATATAGACAGAACATCTGTTTGCAAATCGGCTATGAGATTGAAATGCACTCCTTGAAAAAGAAAACCTGAATGCTTTTTCCCTTCTATAGATTGTGTGGGAGGGGTGGTGAGGGGTGATTGTCACTTTCTTCTCTTGAGGGTGTTTCACAAACAGCGATGGTCACATGAAGACACAGCCTTCTCTAAGAGCTTGTCCCTTGGATGGTTCCTTGGGGGACAGTTGGAGGCAGGTGCTGGCCATCTCCTGTCAYTCATTCCCATCTGCAGTCGGGTCTGTTTCCTCCATAGCCAACAGCAGCAGTGAAATCCCACTGCAGTGGGTGACGTGTTGAAGGAGAGGGCTCAACAGATAGTGTGACACATGAGAAGCATGGGAAACTGTCTTTTCCTGCTTTCCCTTCTGCCTGTGGTCTGTCTGCTCCTGAATGCTTTTTCAAGAAACATCTGGTGGGTTGGGTCAGTCAGCAGCTAGAGAGACTGAGGCTCATAGCTTGAGTTCCTTAGAAAACCAAGGAAGGGGGAGAAACGAGCTAAGAACAGCCTTTCAGTGTTTCAAAATGCATCTTACTCTAGCTTTGGGCAGGCAAAAACACTGATGCTGATCTCTCCCACCCRCTGCTCTCCTGAGAATTATTACAAATGATGCATGAAGCAGAATGAATTGCAGTTTTCCTCAGATTAATGCCATGCAGGTAAAATATCTTCTGAGGCACCCTTACCTGGACACTCAGAGCAGATCAGAGATGGGCAAAGGTCTCTTCAACAGGCCGCCTATGGCCACGCAGGCTGAGGTCTGAGGAAGTCTCAGTCCCTGTAAGAATGCACTGGAGCATAGCTTAACAGCTGTCCCAGCTCTGAATTTAGGGGGCTGGGGGTGGCACACTCTGATTCACAGCGCCKCACCGGAGCACGCAGGCTTCAGAGCGGCTGTTTGTCTCCCTGCTGTGTTAAATATTCAGCACCAGCACATGCTGCCCTTTCCCTAAATGATAGCAATAAATAAATCATTGGTGTTTTTGTGGACTGAAACTGGCTYCTCCAGCTCCTCTAACAATTATTATGCTGCTGAATTAAAACAAAGCAAAAGCTATAAAACCTCAGTAAAACCGATTCCTCTAGCTTAAACTTCCTGAGCTCTTTGTCCACTGGGGCAGGGACCAAATGTAATGATGCTTTTATTTCCTGACTACAAGTTATAGAGGTCGGTATATTCCTTAGTTATTCATTTTTTCAGTCTATTTACTTCTTGTTAGTTGACACCTTTTGTTCTTGAAATATCTACTGAAATGTAGGTATTTGAGAACATGATCCTTGCCAAAGGATCAGTATATTTCTGGCAGGATGAGTAGGACAGTACTCTAGTTTTGAAGGAGACATAGAAGAAATGTGACATCCTTGATGYGACCTTCCTCACATCCCAGGTGCTCTTCTCCCAGAGCTTTCTTGTGACCTTGCCAACAGTTCAGCTTTTCCATTTCCTTTTCRGTCTTTCCCCTCATCTGATAGCTGCCTTTCTCAGCCCATTCTCAAGCCCTTAACTGTGGYTTTACTCTTTAACTTGCAGAGCCCTTGGCACTTCTGGCCTTCTCACACTCGTGCTTGTTGGATGCCATTGTTTAAATTGTTCTCACTGCTTTCTGAAGCCAACCAAGTAATCTCCCTAATCAGCTTTCTCCACCTCTGCAAAGACCCAGCGCTGGCAGGGATTTTAGAGACACAGATACATTGGAATACTGATGAAAATCTGTCCAGTAAGACTCACAGTAAAGGAGGATATAATTTGGGGAGAAATGAGATATGGTTGCCTAAATCCAGCTTTCATAAGCACCTCCACATGAAGTAAAAATGTTTTAAGGTGGATATAAGGACTTTCCACCTCAGAAGACATTCCAATTCTTTCACAATTCAAAGTCTATGAGCAGCCTTATACTGCCGTAGAGCAAAGGTGAAGCAAATATTCTGCATGGTAAGACATAAATCCTAAAATACTGGCAAGCAGAATCAACAGTAAAATTCAGTTTGCACTCATTCTTTCATTGCTCATAGTATAACATTTTTTACAGCTCTGCTTATGGTTGAAAGGCAGCTGTAGCTTGGCTTCCTAAACYTGAGCTGAAATCAGGGCTTCTAAAATTAATTTTGTACTCTATTATTTTGCATCTTTATAATGTATTACATCTGAATTCCTGCCTTCCTGTGAAGAACACAGCCTTACATCTCTTTGAAGTAAGGAAGTGCCCTTCATGTGAGGCAGGAGAAAATGAGGTCTTGCAAAATTGCTATGCAGCTGTTGCAAAATTCTGCTTTCCTACCTACCTGAGAGTGGTGTTCCCTCTTTATTTTGTTTTGGTGGGGTTGTGGGGTTTTTTTTTGTTTTTTTACATAGACAAAATATTGGCTTTGGGTTGGGGGTTTTATTTTTAGTATTTTTATATATGTCTGTTCACAAATGGATTTTCTTGCGCTTAGTTTAGTAAATTGCAACCATAATTTCATCAGGCTGAGACAGATGGATTGCTACCAGACCCACTAGAAAACCTACTTTGGTCCTTCTGCACCATCCATCAGACACTGTGTGAATGTTAATGTCAGATCTGCAGTAAAACAGCATTAGTGCTTTCAGCTCAATCCCATTATGAATTAAGCTCACATCATATATCCATGACTCCTTATAAATCAGCTGAAGCATCCTGAGTCTCATCATCTTGAAAATGACAAAGGATCCTCCTGTGCCAGTGCTGGCTGTAGGGCTTGTTGAGAAGTAGGGCAGTAGTCCTCTTCTCACTGGACTTGATATCACATCCTCTGTTTCATACCATCCCTTATGAGTACAAACCAGTAAACTGCTGGAGAAACAAGAGGTGGTAAAATCTGGACAAGTTAGGGTTATAGCAAAACTAGTAATTTACAATGAATTTCTAGATGCTACTGCATGGCTTCCTCTCTTGTGCATCAAAGGAACTAAATCAAATTGACAGTACTGTAGGATAGGTGATTTATCTGTTTTTCTAGCCCAACACACACCTGAAAAACACTTTGATCGGCGAAGAGTCTGTCAGAACAGGCTCAGATGTACTTATTCTGCAACTGGATCAGAAACACCTTCTCACATGGAGGAGCTGCAGATTTTGAACTGTTCAGACACAAGCATAAGTTCTTAATTTAGTCTGATAAAGTCTGCCTGTTCAYGCCATCAGAGTGAAGGGCGGAAAACAAAGATTGCCATGTGTCATCCCCGGAAGCCTTCACACAGAAACATGATTCATCTTCTGCAGAGATGAGCCTGCAGGAACAGAGGGAGTTTCACAGCAGGGTAGCACAGGGCAGTGCCTGTGGGCTCCAGAGGTGCGCTCATGGAGCCGAGGGCAAAGCTCATCCTCGGGACAGAAACCACTCAACAGGAGCCCCTCAGAGTGGGGTCACAGCGGGGCTGCCAGGAGAGTGATCAGACATCCTGGCAGCAGCAAAGAGAGGTAGTTAAGGCCCAGTGTAGAGATGTTTCTSTTCACATCAGCACTTTCCACCTAGCTGCAGGGTCTCTRCTCTCCTGGGAATCTTGTCTCTGGAGCAGTGCAGAGGATTGGATCAGCATGGGAATRGTCCTGCACAGTGAGTGCAAACACYCAGCCTCCATCCTGCCCAACAGGTTCGGTGGGTACCAAAACCTCCTCTGGGTTTGGTGGGTACCCAGCTACCTGCAGCTGCTAATGATTCYTCCTACTGACAGCTGCTGTTTTGCTGTCTTTCACCTGCATAGCTGCCACCAAGCCAGGAAAGTGCATGCTGAAAACCACACAAAAAACCTCTGACAGAATGTCACCTCTACCTCATACCCCTGGCTAGGACTACATACACTCATTCTTCCTTTCTCCACAAAGGGAGAAAACTAAAGCATAACTTTCTTATCTCCCTTTGGGCTCAGCCACTGCAGAAAATTCATGTGAAGCRTTAGCAGGCAAAGATCACCTTCATGGGAAGGGTGAGGACTAACTTGCACTCCAAAGAGGGCTATTCTCACAGTACTTGCACAAAAGGATGCCAGGCTCCAAGAAAGAGACTAACAAATTGTAGTGGAAGGCAAATGGGAAACACCAATTTCAAAGCCTGCTGTCCTTCAACCAGAATGAGCTTTATGTCTTCCAGGTAGGGAAAATCCTCCTGAGACACYGCCTATCTGAATACATCACTTAATCTTGTAGAAAGCTCCAAGACACAGAGGTTCTTGCTGTTAGAAATTGCATCAAATAACCTTATTGAAGATAAATGGCTTTGAACTTTCATAGCAACAGTGATGAAGTGCTTCAGCATCCATGCAGTACAGACTGAAAAATCAGAGCTTTTAGACAAAGAAATAAAC